CCCCCACAAAACATTCAGACACTAATTTATAAACTGCAAGACCATTTTGGAATCACCCCCTTCTTTCCATTTCCATGGCCTTAGTAAAGATCACATCACTCTGGGCTAGACCATGGAGGAGCACTGTGTCCCCAGGGCCGCACCACTCCAGTCCCATCTGGGAGCTGGGCCCCGCTGTGGTCCCTGGTTAAACACTTCTCTGGCTTTCTGCTGCCTGCGGAGCAAGGTCCAAACTCCACGAGTCCAAGAACTGACCTTCCTAATTATGTACAGACCTACCTCTCCAATCTTATCTCCCGCGTCTCCACCCAGCCACCCTGTACAAAAGTTACAGTGAGCCATCTGTAGTTCCTTTAGTACAACAGATTAGCCTCTGTTGAACACTTATTATTTGCAGAGCTCAGTGCTAAGTACTACTCTGTATATCACCTCATTTAATTTTCATAACAACCCTACCGCGGTAGGTAGGTATCTCACTACCCGCAGTTTGAAGCTTAGATAAGTCTCTGGCTGACTGACTGTCTCCTTCCGTCTACAGTAGCGCCTCCTCCCCCATGCTCTTAGTCAGCCCAGAAGGCCCTGCTGCTCCTCAGCTGGGCTCCCCCATCCTCCATCCTAATCTTCTAGACTCCACTCAATTGTCCTTCTCCAGTGATGCCACCCTTCACCCAGTTAATAATTCTGTCTTTGGCGTGCCTGTGCTATTTTGTACATTTCTCATTGGAAACACTTATCACACTTGATCATATTTATCTGTATACAATCTACCAATTAGACTGTGAACCCAAGAGAATAAGAACAGTTTTTTAAAAAAAATTCTTTTCCCTATGTCTGGCATATAGTGGCTAGGCAATAAATGAATGACAAGGTCCGTTACTGTTTATTATGTGTTGTTTCACACTCCTGTTCCTTCCTTACATATTATATCCCAGAGTCTTATTACCTCTGAGCTCTCATTGGCAATAAATTCCTGATAGCTTTCCCTCTGGTCACTTTTCTTTGCGACTCTCTTCTTTACTAATGGTGGATTAACCTCTCCAAAACACAGTTCTGAGCCTGGCTCATCTATGTTCAAAAACATCCTTGACTCCTCAGTGCTTTCCAAGAAAAGTATAGACTCTTCACTCTGGAATTCCAGAGTGACCCTGATCTGGACTTACTGGTTTCCTCTTACCTTGTCATTCCCCTATGCCAAACCAAATCACATTACTTCCTGTTCTCTCAAATCACACAAAATCTCTGTACATCTGACCACGGAAATGCCTCACTTTCCTTTCCATGACTACCTGTAGAAATCTCACCTTCTTCAAATCAGATGCAGTCACCCTCACTAAGCTTCCCTCAATTTGGCACATAGGTTAAAAACTACAACTCTTCTGAAATCCCACAGCATTATGGTCTTACCTCTTCTGTGGGATTTAATTCATTCGGCATAATTCTATGATTTAGATATGCCTTAGCTCACCTATAATCTCCTTGACATTACCTACTCTTCCTCACAGAGCCACACAACCTGAGTGGCTTGTACCTGGTAGCTGGTCAACAAATCTGGGGTATATTATTGAAATAACATCTAAATGTTAGGTGAGGCTAAAACCTAACTCTCATGCCGTAAAAAACTGCATGTGAAGTCAAACTAATTAAAGAATTAACAGTCCTCCATAAGACTATAACAGTGGCATGTCACAACCAGTTTTGGAAAAAAACTGACTTCAACTGGCCCATGTTTAAAGAAATCAAGTCAACATAGGATGGAAAAATCATCTAAACAGATAGTGAACATCGCAGAGTGACAGCCAGTGTTAAACACTAGGCTAAGCATTTAACTTGCTTCATTTCCTTGGTTCTTACAAACCTCCAAAGGCCGATAAAGCTATTCCACATTCTATCCTTAAGAAGACAGAGGCCAATAAAAGTTCAGCAGTTTGCCCAATGTTCAGTATTTTTTGAATGGCACAGCCAGGATCCCAACCAAACTAGAAACATTTACCAAAAGACTAAAGCTCCCTGTGAAGGAGTTGCAATGGATTCTCATTTTCAAAGAGCTTCATCTATGGCATATTTCATCACTATCACAAACTACTGAATCTATACTGCGTAACTAAGGACAGGGTCTCGTTACTGTCAGCCAGTTACTGTGTGACTTGGTAAGAAAGCTGCAATAACACTCTAAATTTCTGTACCTTTGTAATGTAACAGGGAGTACTGCAGACAAATGCAAATACTGCACTGCATTTTTAAGCCATGTAACAATGTTAGGGACTCTTTCAACAGACCGTTGTTCTTATAACAAAGCTTACCACTAGGTGGCAGGAGAATAACGTCAATGAGGTGATTTTATTTACTACAATGCTTTATATAAAAATAAAAGTAGCTTGACATTTCCCCAACGCTTTTATCCAGTAGTATAAAATCTAGTTAAACTGCTTAGGTTTTTCAAAATTACTGTCATGTTTACAGTGGTATGTTACAAACAAATGATTCTAAATAAAAAATATTCTCCCTTGTTGAAAACTGCATTATATTTATTTTAAATATCATAATATACACAGGTTTCAACCTTTTTGTATTCAATAACCACAGCTTAAACTAGCTTTAAACATGAAAGCAGAACCATATTATCAAGGAGTTAAATAAAAAATAACACACTGTACATTAAAATATAGTAAAGACTGAAATTTAATTTTGTAGAATGCTATAGAAAATAAAACTGCTTTCAACCCATGAAGATTGGAATTCTTGCATTTTGCAAGGTGATTTTGTTAATTTTGTTTGTTTTATTTTGTTTGTCTTTTGTTTCTAAATGTCAAAATAAAAGAAGGTTTCAGGTTATATTTTACAAGCACTTCTTTGCAAGTAACACTGAAGGTTAGTTACCAATGTATAAAATGAAAATTGGGTAAGACCATAATTATATTTTTCTCTTTTTGACATTTACTTTAAAAGTACAAGAGGAAGCTTGATATGCTATAGAAGAATTTTGAGGAAATAAACACAACTTAAAAATGTGATGACCGCCTTGAGGCAAATTTATAGAATTATCTATCAACATGTATGCACTTTTAATAACTTGTGTCCTAATTTCTATCTTTGATGATCCCTTATGGGTAGAAATTAAATTATATATAACTAAGATTAGCAAATATACATGTAAAACCATACTGTGGTCAAAATCACTCTGGGAAGTAACTACGTAAGTTAGAAACTAACCCTTGCATATGGTCACTTAGGCAGTCAGGAATAAAATATTTTAATGATTATTGTTTACTAATTTTACTAATTTAAGCAGGAAAAAAATCCCCTCTTTTAACATAAAGAACCCTCTAGACCAGGGGTCAGCAAACGGCATTTCGTGAGCCACATGCGGCTCTTTGGGTATGTTCCGTCTCAAAAGTTTGCCAACCCCTGGAAGAGCCAATCCTGTCCCTCACAACAATTTACAATTATTTGAGAGCCATAAATATATTTTTACATAATCACCATTACATGAAGAATATTCTTTAAAATTTTATAAATAAAACTATGATATTTTCATTTTCAATTTTACTTCAGAGCCTGTGGCTCGTGAGCCAGTTTGCTGACCCCTGGCGGTTCTTCAGTCTCAAAGTCAACCCCTTCTCTAGACCTATGCAAATCCTTTGTGGGGGAGGGGGGCCTAACATCAGTGGGGCTAACATCAGTTTGGTTGAAGGAATTGTGCTTTCTCTCATCAACCAGGAAGGAGTGAGGCCCAGACTGATTCAGACCTGGCCAATTACATAAGGCAGCGCTAGCAGAAATAGAACTCCTTCCCAAGGCTGGCAACTCGTCCTGCGTCCTCACGATTGTTCCACAAGGCTTCTTTGGAAAAATACCAATGACCAAATGGTGCCACACACAAGACCTCTGGAAGACATACTGGCCCGGCAGCCTCCATACAAACCTAAATCCACAAAAAGTGAGGCTGATTCACTTCTCTGGCTGCCCCGCAAGTCTTCAGGCTGATTTAGGCCTCCTGAAAGTTATCTGTGATAGACTTTGCTTTATAAGGCTTTGGCTTTTAAAGCCAAGGTAAAAAATGCACAGGCCATCCTGGCTTCTCAGCTTTCTATAGCATTAAGCCAAAACTGAGGTCCTCTCCAGGGTTCAGTGGGAAGGAACGGTTGCTAGGGAATTATTTTCTATGGAAAGCACCAATTTATACCTGTAAAATAGTCTAGGAAAGTGTGTGAAGAATAATTTGCAATATATGCACATGGATGCATTTCCTCATCTTTCAGCTCTGTAAGGTAATATTACTGAGTGCATTTACAAAGTGAAAATTATACAGTAAGGTAAAGTTGTCTGGATGCTTGACAGGATATGAAAAGAACATTGCTCTTGTGGCCTTGACAGTTATTAGTTGATTCAATTCATGAGATGCTTATGTTCTACTCTAAAAATAAGCATAATAGCCATCATAAAAATTTCTTTGAACCATCATCGCTCAGGGGTTGACAGGTATTAAACTGCGTTCTTCTAATTCATTCCTGGGGGCGGGGAGAAAACCAGACTTAGAACATGTAATGTTCTCTTAACACAAAGAATCTCATTTACATGTACTGGGCTGAAAAGGATGCAGAAACAAAAGAGAAGACATCTATGGGTAATAAAAGAAAGTCTCAAAAATCAAAATTTTGAGAGCCCCTATTAGCTGGAGTGGAAGACAGATCTTTTTCCACCACCCCTCCCCACCCCCCAATCTACAATCTAGCACACAGTTGGTGCTCAATAAATATCTTTTGAATAAATGGTATGGTAAATACCATCTCAAGGAATTTCCTACATTTGCAATTCATTTCAGAAGAAATGAAGGTGACCTCTGAATTTGGTAAATAGCAACTGGACAAGAATTGTGATGGCAACAGATTCAGCACAGGGCCAGCCTGCATGGGCAATCTTCAGAGGGGGTGAAGGCGGTGCTGTCACAAGCACCCCTCCTGCAGCAGGGAGCCTACAAGAGGTCCCTCCCCTGCGCTTACCTCGTCCTTCTTCTCTTCTGGACCCGATGCCCCCCCGGGGCTCAGCTGAGGGTGGCTGCTGGCACCGCTCTCCTCACTGCCTTTGTCACATGTGGCTTGCACCGAGTCCTGAAAGGGCACAGATCCTTCTGCCCTTTCGTCACTGTCCACTGAACTCAGGGACAGCGCACTGAAATTGTTGGGACACTTGGCGTTTCCTGCGCCTGGGCTCTGAGGACTGGGGGGCTTGGGTGTGGTGGGCCTTAGAGGAGTAAGAGGCTGCTCGGGTTCGAATGTAAACTGGCTGCCAGGTTTTGGTTCGTGGGAGTCTTTGCTCAGCGCTTCCTGGGCAATCGGACTCGGAAACGAGTTGCCAGCCTTGCAAGGACTGACGCTCTGGGCCTCGAGAGGAAACACTGCTGTCTCCACATCCACGTGGGGGCCCCGAGGATCGGCTGGGCTGAAGTCTGGGGCGGCCACACACCTCCTGCGCTCCAGCTCGCTGCTGCTGGACACCCGGCGCGAGTAGTCGTCGTGCAGCCGGCTGCGGAGCCCAGGCCGCGGCGCAGCGTCGCAGGAGCAGGGCGACCCGCCCTTGGGACGCTCTCGCTTCCAGGCTGCATCCGTGGCGCTGCTCACAAGCTTCAGGACCCGATCAAAATCCTTGGCCCTGATCGGGCTCTTCCAGCGTTTTGTCCTCCTCTCAGACGCGCCGAGCTTCTCTGAGTCGGCCGAGGAGCTGCTCAGCGTCCTGCGCGGCGCGGGCCTGTCGGGCGCCACCTTGAGGTCCGCAAGGTTAGAGGCCGACTTCCGCTTGAAGGAGCTCTTCTTCAGGAAGTTCAAGTTGTCGGTGCTCTTGCTTCTCCGGTAGACAATGCTGTTGTTTTCTGAGTCTTTCACGACGATCGCACACAGGGGGGGCTCCTGGATGACGGAGGACAGGGGCCGGCCATGCTTCTCCGAGTCCAGGATGCTGATGCGGCCCAGGCCGTAGGCGCGGCGCAGGCTGCGGGAGCGGTGCGTGCTCCTCTGGAAGGCGTCGTCGGCCTCCTCCGGGTCAGAGCCGTCGGACGCGGGCCTGGGGCCAGGCTGGGGGGCCCCGCTGGCTGCTGCCGAGGAGCCGCGCCCGCCTGCTGTTATTCCGACTGCGGCCCCATTCGGAACAGGTGGCCCCAGGTCCGGCTCTGAGGCCTCCTCCTTGGCCGCATCAGAGCCCTCTCGGTTCTGAATTCCTTGAAGGACTGAGGACTTCAGTTTTTTAAAAGATCCCATCTTCCGAAAGGAGGCCAGGGCGTTCCAGGTGGAGGAGTGCCCCATCAGGACCACCGAGCGGGGCCTCTCGGGGTTGGTACTGGTCCTCTTCCTACTCACCGAGAAGAGGCGCACGAGCTTGGCGGGGCCGAGCCTGGCGTCCTGGGCTTCCGCGTCGCCGCCGCATCCTCCGTTCTGACATGCTGGGTAAGTCACCATTTTGGGGTCTTTTGGATCAGAGACAGAACAGGGGATTGCAGCAACTCGTCCATGGCCGTTCTGGGCTGTTGTCATGTTCTCGGGGCTGGGAGCCCGAGGCCACAGGGCAGCGCGGCTCAACCCCACGTGCACACCTGTGTCCACCGGCCCCAGGTGCAGACCTGCATCTCGGAGGCCGCCGCCCGCTGGGCTTTCACACCTGCTGTACCCATCAGGCTCCTCCCCAGTTGTGGCCACTGCCTGCAGCAGAAAACAAAGAAGGCATTTAGCCATTTCCCCCACAGAAGAGCCTCTATAAATAGGGGCTTAGTTACTTTAATAATTGCAAATAGGGAGGGGGGAAAAAAGGCATGCTCCGTAACAGGCCTGATCAAATAAATATGATTTCAAATTAAGTTAAAATTTTACTTTTTTTCTAATTCATTTCATAATAAATTAAAGGGAAGAATGCAAAAATAAAAATTCCTAAAAAATAAAGATAAAGGTAAAAGATAATTATGGGTTGTGCATTCAGTGATGGTAAACCTCTTAAAATCCATTGAAACTTGTTTAAGTTTTTTAATTAAATTTTTTTGGGTAATATTGGTTAATAAAATTATATAGGTTTCAAGGGTACAATTCTATAGTACATTATCTGTATATAAGTAAAAGTTAAAAAAAAAAGTTTTGCTGTAATGAAAAGGCCAAGGCATCATTCAAAGCTGTGTCTTCCCTTAACTTAAAATAGAACAAAATTTTATTTTCAAATAATAATACAAAAAAAACCTTTCAAAATGTGTCACAGTGAAATGTCAACTTATGTTACGTTTAACACAGGTAATAGGCAGACTGAGTGCTTAGTATATACAAGAACTAGTGCAAGGAAATGTGATGGTGACCAAGATGCTCTCAGCTGCTTATTATCTACACCCCAAAACTCTAATGAGAGCTACAGAGTGCTACAGGGACACGAGTGGGAGGGACCAAGCTTAGGTAGCATGAAGTCGGGCTCATTAGTGGGGGGCCTCGGTTAACAGCATTCTAACAGCGGAATGGAGAGAGGTGAAGATAATACTGAAGAACTAGAAATTCAGACACAAAAATTCAAATTAAACAAATTCTGCGCCTTCTTCCCACATGCACTGAAGCCCACCACACACCTGGTCCATGCTCTCCCCACCAAGCCAGAACCTGCTCTCCTTAACCCTCCCATCAGGCCAAGTCCTCCTCAGCCTTCAAGGGCCATCTTAAATGTCAGTCTCCATCCTCAGTAAATGATTAGTGAGTGAATGAATGAAGGAAAAATTATGATGATAATCATAAAAGGCTACCATTTCTTAAGTGCTTACTACAAGTCAGGTCCCTGTACTAAGTGCCTTAGAAGCAACATGCCACTGAGTACTCATACAAACCAAAGTCAAGAGAGTGACTTTCATTTTATAGATAATCACATGGACACTTGGGCAGGTTAGGTAATCTGGGGGTTCTGCAGGTGCCCCTGAATAGGCTATGCTCTTCTCCCACAGCTTCAAACTCATGAATAAAGAGGCAGAGCTGCAACACGCACCCCAGGCATCTGACTCCAAGTTCAGTACCTCATGACATAACCCTGACTTAAGTCAAATCCCAGAAGTCCTCATGGCGCCAGTCAAGGCCATCACCTCCAAAGGTAATATTAAAAGTAGAAGAGGAGAAGGAGAAAGTTGTATAAAGACTTTGAGGGTAGGTCCCAATTTAGCTTAGCTCTCTCAAGTACAGAAGAAAAATCTGACTTCATGCAAAGAGGTCTCAACTGCTTCTACTCCCCAGATTCTGAGGTGGGTCCATTTTTATTTGCCCCTACATCATGCCCAGTGAGGGACTCTTGGGGATACCCATAGTTAAAGGGTTAATTTCATCTGAGACCAGAGACAATACAGAGACTGCGACCCCTGGAGCCTGTCTGATGTCCAGTCACCCATTTTCATTAATCAGAAGCTTGATGGGGCAACCACATGCCCCTGCAGTTTAATGCTCTAATGGAGAAATCGGGGGTCTGAAGAGCTGTGGGTTGCATTTGAATGAGCCACATAAGCTGAGTCTTGAATCATCCTGGCACTGAGGCTGGATGTGACCTCTAACCTGTTGCAAAATGAGTCAAACATTCAGCACCCCTGTCCACCTGTACCTACTTTGGGAGGGACAGGGGACTGTGGTTGTTTCAGCTTTCCAGAATCTTGAAACAAAGCAGACAGTTTATGCAGAGTCAAGTCCAGTCCCAGGCACTGACTGACTGCAGATTATGTAGTAATAATGGTCTGGTTGTGCCTTGGACGGGATACAGAACAGCAGACACATTCCTGCTGTGTAATCTGGTTGGACAAAGACAGATTACTGATACCATAGCTAGAGGGCACTAGGAGACCTGTTATGTAACCCATGATGAAACTGTTAAGCTGACTCTAAGGGCTTAGTGGGTGCAGGAAAGTGTTTGATTTAATGCTGGGAGTTTATGAATGTGCTATGGAAGACATGGGGCCAGACACAGGTTCTAAACTCAGCACTGGCACATGAATCTTGACTAAAATAATTTCAGGAATCTGTGCTTCAGCGCCATCTATAAAATAAGAGGTGCCAACATTTATGTATAGACCCACTAACCAATCAATTTATGAGCCTCTGTTGGGCACAAGCATCTATGCAGGCCCCATGAAGAATTCAAGGCAGTACAAGAAGATAGCCCATTCTGGCACAAGCAAAGGAAAACTCAGGAATATAGGTATGGTTGGGAGGCGGTAATATTAGGGTGACCAGCTATCCCATTTGGTCCAGGGGTGAGATGTTTTCCAGGATGTGGGATTCTCATGGCTGAAACCGGGCAAGTCCTTGGCAAACTGGGATGACTGGCCATCCTACAGTAAGTAGGACAGTGTGGTTGGAAGGATGGCTCGATGTTCTGTACTAGTTGAAAGTAAGGTGAAACAGGTTTAGGAAATCCTACATACCCTTAGTCTAACACTTTGAGACCATCTTCAGGTGTCACCTTCTTTGGGAATTCCTTCCTGATCTCCCTAAAATGAATTAGATCCCTTATTCTGTGGGTTACAGACATCTCACCAAATTGCTTTACCAAAACATATTACAATGATAGGTTTATATGGCTGCCTTTAGAACAAGGCTGTGAAATGAAACCTTTGACAGTAAAAACTGTGTGCTTTGCACACTTAGATTTTTATCTTGATGTGAAATTGTATCAGTTTTCCTGTCTTATCAATATCTGTACCAAGGTAACAACAATTCATTATTATATACCACTATTATTTTTACAATGTGGAAATGTTTAAATTTTTATACTACTAAAAAGTCTTAAGTATTTATGTAAAACTTAATTAAATTTTAGGATACAGACCTAGTAAAAAAAATGCAGAAAATCAGTTTCTAAATTGGGGCAACATACTTTTTAAAAGACCATTGACTTACTAGTCCGTTCTGTAGCTGAACAACGTGATTGTTGTGTGCTGCTTGGAGTTAAACTGAAAATCATGGAAAAAAGCTTTTCCTGGAATTTCTGAGTAACACACCAAGTTGCATTATTTAGAACTAACACTTTGACCTCTATTAACTAACAAGGGTTGCAATTCACTCAGTGGTTTTGTAGCAAGTCTTACAAATTGTGGGAGTTCTGCCAGAGATATTTATGAACAGGACTATGAGAAAGAATTTTAGATGGGAATATTGTGAAATCTATTGTCTACAAGCTGGATTCTGGGGTATTTGAACTTTAGAATAGAACATTTTAGTCACAATGAGAATTCTCTGAAAACAGCTATGACCAATAGTTCAAATAAGAACTTGTACTTGAATTTGAAATTCAGAAATATATCCCAAGTTAAATGTACAAACAAGAAGGTTTTTGTAATATTCGTTAAATTATAGAAAATGCAACACTGAAAAAAAAACACATTGAAATCTGAAATGCTAAAGGAGTGAAAGTATACCTTGGATCATAGCACTGTAGAATATTGCCCTAGGAAACATCTAATCCCTAATTGTAAAGAGTAGGCCACTGGGCCCATTGGGTCTGAGCAACTTAACCAAGGTCAAGCTACTATAAGTGAAAAGCACAAAAGCACAGTGGGAATCAGAGGGACCTGGCTGTGCCCCAGCCGTGCCACCTACTGGCCAAACCCTGGGGGTCATGCTAGACTTCCTTGCCCTCCCTCAGTAGTCACCAAGTCTGAGATTCTACTGCATTTCTCAGCTATTCTTGCTCAGTGTGGGCCACCAAAGCCTTATTTCTAGACATTAGTACCTTCACCTGGATGACTGTATTAGCCTCCTGACAAGTCTCTGGTATTCCAATCTGATTCACCCCCAACCCAGCCAGTGTCCTTCCCAAACAACAAATGGAGTCATGTCACTTCATCTAGTGTCATTCATTGTCTGCCTTTGGAAATGTGGAAATGTCGAATCACCTCAGTCTAGCACACAATACTTTCATTTCAGCCATGCAGAATATTTACAGTGAGCCTTTCTCATACTGCTATGCTTGGGGGGTACTTCCCTGTTTGCTCTCAGTCTTTCTCCAGCCATTTTTGTCTCTGTAGTGTAAGAAGCCACAATCCCCAGGCTCCTATGACATATGGCTCTGGCCAGGTTGGCAGTGGGAAGCACGGGTGGGAGATGCCAGGGTGTCTCTCTCTGTGTGGGCTGCTGCAGGGTCCCTTCCAGCAGTTGCTGAGGCTCCACCCTCCTAGGTCTTCCCTTCTGCCAGGTGACACAGTGTCTGGCTCAAGTAGCACCACCTCTTCCCTCTATCCCCAAGCCTAGGGGCAGTAGCATCTTCCTGCTATTGTGTATCTGAGTTCTTTACTGTTTTCTCTTTTGTTTCTCAGCTGTGTAAAAATAGTCCCTATATTAATTCTCTTTGTTTGAAATACCTAGAGATGCTTCTCTCTTCCAGACTGATAAATATGTACTTTGCCTACCAAACTTTCATTAATTCAAATCAACCTTTCCCCAGAGGAGAACTCTTTGCTTCCTATCCAATTCGTATGCCCCTTCTCTGTAGGTTCACAGCACGTCGTGCATGGCTGTTTTAGCACTTATCACACTACTCTAACTCTGGTTTCTGTCTGCCTTCTCCACTAAACTTTGAAAAGGCTGAAAAGTTCTTTCCAGACAGAAATCAGGTCTTGTTTAACTCTATTCTCAGCATTCACTTGGTCAGTCACTGACTGAATATGAGGATAACACCACTTCTTTGACTTAACTTATGTGCG